ATATTAATCAGCAGTTTTCTCGAGAAAACTGCTAATTTACAATGGTATTATAGCTTTTTAAAAATCATTCTCGAAACATCTGTCTTTGAAACGACTTTTTTTCGAGTATGACGTGCAAAATTTTATAGCGATATAAAACGAAACGCCTATTGCAAGTGATAATGTAAATACAGTAATGTAAATGTTTCTAATATATATTCGCGTGAGGGATTTCTATTTTACAAACAACCGGACCAATTATGGCTCAATTACTCAAATTATTGCCGATAAATCTGCATAAAATTGACTTATTTTTGTCCGTTTCCTAAATGTTTCAAAATATTTATAAGTTTTTCGATTTATCGGAGATCTTTGTTTCATCTATTTATAGTCTCTTGAAAGAAATTCGTGGCCGGCTAAGGAAAGACGTAACTCCGAAAGCCATTAGCTCGATGTCTAATATTAGCCTATTTCACATAACAAAAACACATCTATAAATTTCCCTTATCATTTTACTAGATGCATGAATTCTTAGAGAAAAAATAACCGATTTTACTTGTCGCATACAACCACGTTAACCATATTTTTACTGTAGTAGTAATCAAGTTTTTAGTAACAACATACAATATATTAACGTTCTATTTTATATACACAGTGAAAACTGCTTAGGCGACCACCTGCATTTGACGGGCACCTGTCAAAACCGGCAAAAATTTCTAGCACAGAATAGTTTATACATAACTTATACGAAGACTCTCTTCGTATAAGTTACCTGTATTAAACGACCACCTGTGTAACGCGATCGCGGGCATCGATTTTTGGTCCGAAACAACATACAACAACTGTAATAAGCGAGCACTTCCGCGAATATATCTGGTCTAAACTATTGTTCGAACCCATCTCAACAATGTTTCCCCCTCCTAATATAATGAATTAGTCTAGTACGAACTTACCTCGGGCACTTCTCCCACCCTTGAAATTAGGTGCAGGTGTTAATGAATTAGTCCAGCAACAAAGGAAATTCATTTCAGTTTGTTCGAAATTGTCCGAAAAGCGAAACAAATGCAAAGTGCTATCGTTAGAAGATCGTGTTAAAGTTATCAGAGAAAGTGAAAATAGCTTATCACAACGGCAATTAGCCGAACTTTAACTGTGAGAAAATGAAATTTTTTTACCGTAGACCTACAGTATTTTCCTTGGAGATATAAAAATATTGTACACGATACAATTAATCGGCTGACATCGTTTGATAAAATTTATTTATTTATTTTGAAGCTCATGTATTGTACAGTACTGTACAGTACATGTGCGATAAATAATTTTTGTATCAACTTACCTTATTTCCACGATTTTTTAGAAAAATGATATCCAAGTAATTTTCGCACGCAAAATATTCAAAAAACAATAGACGCATTAATGCAAAAATCAGTTTTCAGACAACTTTCCTTTTTTCATAATCGTATTATGAGAAAAAATAATAAAATCGTTTAATTATTAATTAATAATTTTTCTTACTGTACTTAAGAAAATATTAAATATTTAAAAAATGCAGTATTTTTAAAGTTAAAATAAGATTAAACTAAAGTAAACCAAAACCAAAGTGATGGAGAGATGCCACGCGCTTGTATATCGATGACGTAGAAGCGAACGAAAACAACTAACTTGTAAGTTGAATTAATTAAGTCGGAAAAAAGAAAGTGTGCATTATAATCGAGAAAATGGGCGTATTGTATTAATCTTTAAACTATTGGTATTAAATCTGTCTTATAAAATCACGACGACTCCCGTAAATCGAGTTATCCGATAAGAATAAAATACAATACCAATATAGCCCTATTGTTGAAAAAAATTCGCTTCTTTTTGCTCACATCGACTTTTTTTTAGTAGAAATGGCTAAAAAGTGCTCCAAATATGTACGGAAATACAGTATTGTAGCACCACCTGTCTAAAAGGCCACTTTTTGAAGGAACCGTGGGTGGTCGACATAGACAGGTTTTTTTTAATTATTTATTTTTAATTTTTATTTTTTTATTTCTCAAAAAGACGCTGTGGCCAGGTTGGCCTTTTACAAGCATCTTAAATTAAAATCAACAAAACGAACAAAAAAAGAATAATTACCAATTATTCTTTTTTTAAGATACATTGTGCTTGTTCCTGCTTAATTAATTAGGATATTCTTCAATTCATATACAATTTTTATGACTTTTTGTATAATGGAATTTTGGCTCTTCATTATGACGATGTTATCTGCATTGGTAATTTCGTTGCATATTATATTTTCAAAATCTGGCAGATGTTTAACTTTCACAAAGTAATTGTTAAAAAATTCTGTAATTTTCTCATCTCCTAACAGACCCATGTAAAATATTGTAATATAGTAATTAGGCGAATAGCTAGTTATTTGCAAGAAAATATCGAAACGTGATTCTTCGGTGTTTTTATGTAAATAAAGAGCGATGAGAAATGTCTCAAAATCCACATGAATAAAGTGAAAATATATATTTTTATCTTGGTTACAGAATGAAATAAAAAATTTCAACCCGAGAATAAATTCAAGTTCTTTCTCATCTGGAAAACATTCTTTTAAATCATCGAAGGTAATTCTTTCTTTCCTTTTATAGTGATTTACTCTGCCCATAAACTAGTTTTCCCAATCGAACTAAAAGATCTTCACCATAAAAATACTTTCCCTTCTTCAAATGGTTACATCCACTATTAGCTCTCATATATTTCTCGATAAGAAATTGAAATATTAGAATGAACACTTCTGTTCTACTTTTGGTACATTCTAGTCCTACCAACTTATGCAAACAACACAGCAAATGTAACATTAATGGGCATTTTGATAAATGAAAAAGGAAATCATCTCTTTCTAAGATATACTGAAGACTGCGTGCTTTATCTTCAGATTGTTTGAAAACTAAGCTTACATATTTACGTTGCTGTTGACCTCGAAATCCAGTGAGATTAAGTTTTATATCAAATGCCATCTTTATTTTTTCTGCAGATTCGGGATGACTGGTTACAAGAATAGTCATATTTCGTGAAATCTCGAAAGAATCGTCTTTTATAAATTGAATTACTGAATTTCTATCAGGGAATTCGTCGTAACCGTCTAAAATGATCAAGAAGTTTACATCGGCATTCCATATTTTTTCCTTCATTCCCACTTCGTGATTTCCACAAACAATTTCCAGAATTGCATGGACAATGCTTTTTCCCTGAAGATCTCTCAATGTCATGACGACAACAGAGTCAAAATGTTGTAATGCAGGATTATCAATGGCCCATTCATATGCAATCTTCTTGCACAACGTGGATTTACCATAACCCGGATCTCCATATACAAGAATATTTGTATGTTCATCAGTAATTTCCATCAACAACTCTTCGATGTTAATCTCCCCTTCGATTGGATTTCCAGAATGATCTGTTATCTGCAGCAGCAAATCTACATAATAATCGGTTAACGGAACAGTCTTTTCGCTGTACCAAAGTGAAGAATCCATGTAAGCACTGAATGTTCGATACTTGTTCCTAAGTTTTCCATTACATTTCTCTAATAATTCTAAAAAAATACAAGTATGTAATAATATAGCTTTTAATACACTGGCGTGCGAAACTTAAGCAACAATTATTTTTAGCCTTAACCCCTGCAAAAATTGCCTGTAAGACATGAAATTCAGAATTCAGAGACAGCGTTTTAAGTACTTTATACTTAAAGAATGAAGAAGGCATACTAGCTCAGAAATGAATACAATGCATACAGTGTGGAATCAAAGCCTCCTTTTTATAATCTTGCACTAAGTGCGCTTACTGCATATGTTCTGTGTGTCCTCACGTCATCTGTGATTTCTTTTTGAATACGAATCATTCTACTGAGTTGAGTGTTTATTGTTACTGATCGCAACAAGCCCTTTTCTACAATTTCGTGGCTGCCTGCTTAAAAATTATATTGTTGCTTAAGATTTGTACATCAGTATAGTTTCGAGTTGTAGAAGTACGTTGAACTAATTAAAAAAAAATATACCGTGTATGTTTATTTTGCAAAATTGACAGGGTGACGTCTGTTCTACATTCGCTGCTTTGTTAGCTGCAAGACATTAAAATCATTTCTTCTTGTTTATCACCTTATTTATATTTATAAACTTACCATTTTCCGTAAAAATCTTCTTTTGGTTTATGGAAATGCAGTACTTATCTCCAATTTGCATTTCCTTTGTATGTTTGGCAGCGATTTGTGGAAGATCGCCTACGGTAATTTTCGATGTTCCTGCGTGTTGCATTTCATTCTAAAATAACACAGACGAATATAATTACATTTTAAAATCGTTAACCTAAATCTTCCATCTTCAATTTTATATCACTAAATAAATTTTTAGTGTTCACATTATTTCATATAATTTTTATACATCGTAATATTTAAAAGTAAATTTATGTTTAATATCTATTTCAAGTAATAGAGGGAATGAAAGTTTACCTGTCGATCGTCCATGTTTTTTTTTTGGTCAAACGTGCAATTTATTGTTATAGTATTTGAGTAGAAATCCTTCTGCCGTTTTGAACTTCTTTAACAGGTTTGCACGAGCCTCTGACGTTGTGAAGTCAGCTTAATTTAAAGGTTATTTCTTGCCAACTGATCTCTACAAGATGGTATTTATACTTACATAAAACATTACTTTGTTAACATTATACTGGCTGAAATATGTTAGAAGTGCATAAACGTACCGTATTTATAAAAATTAAATTAAAAATAGTGCAACACTTATTAATTTTAGGATTTTTTCCTAATTTTCGTGAATGACCGTAAAGAATAAATGTGGAGCGACTCTAAGAGAAAAAGAGATGATGAGATACTTAGGACCAGTTTAAAGCAGGGGTGTCCAACCTTTTTGTTCTTCTTGGCCACATTAAAAGAAGTCATGGAGTTTTGGGCTACAATTATACATAATATATTTGTGACCCAATCCTTAAATATACAAGTATATTTAAGAATTACAGTAGAGCGTCGTTTATCCGAACCAATTGGGGACGGGTTGTTCTGATAACTTATTTTTCGGATAACCGATTATGTACGAAAAAATATATTAACCTATCCCGTGTTGAAATTTTTCTCTGTTGCATGTCGCTTCGCGTTGAATTTTCGTCGATGTTAAGCCTAACGTAATCTTTTTAAAATAATAATCGTGGCTATTGTATCGTTAAAAATGATTTCTTTATGTTTTACAAACGAAATAAATACACTGAAAAATATAAAAACAAA